TTTATTTATTTATTTATTATTATTTATTATTATTATTTAATGCATGGAAATTTCAATTTCATTGCTGAAGGACTTATTTCTAACAAGCACAAAAAAGGTTAATGACACTAATTCACTAATTTACACCAGGTTTAACTTATACCAGGACATAGTTCAGCAGATGAGATGACTGAATTATATAGAAGACCAGAAGGACAGTCAGTTTTCCCTATGTCAGGCCATCAGAGTGCCTGGCTTTAGAAACAGGCCCAGGTTTTACCTGTTGGGCCTTGAACTTGGAGATAATAGCTGCCTGAAACATTTCTGTAACCTGTGAATTGAAAAACTCACTTTATCACGTTCCAGGCTCCTGTGGCCCAAGAGAGAACTGTTGGTTCCCAAAGTGGATCCAGCTTCACAACCGTGGAGACCCCCAGAATTAACTGCAGACCAGTTGGCTAAGTTGGAAACCAAACGTAAAGTAAGTCAGGCCAGCTCATTGTGGGATTTAAGAAGTGCTAGATTCCATGCATGAGGTCCAGTTGGTTTGTTTGGTTGATTGGTTGGTTGGTTGGTGAGGGCAGGGCGGGCTACAGATATTAATTGCATGGAGTTCTTATGCATGGGGTCAATAGTGGTTTATGCCATGGACTGTGCATGTGGACCCGGAGTGCTCCTCAGGCTCTTGGGGTCATCGGTCACTTTGCAATTCCAGAAGAGAATGATACACAACTGCAAGATTGAAACTTGATAATCTGTTGTTTTTTTTTTATTAATTTTATGTGTATAATGTTATAACTTGACTTTTGTTGTCCATTTGTTTGCAAAAACTCAATTAACATGAAAATGAAATAATTGGTTGTACTGAAATATTAACATTTCATATTAAAATTTAGATAACAGTAATTAACATGTAAGATTATTTATCAAAACAGAAAATGTTTTAATGTTTTACAGCCTGAGTATGTTTTAGCCTTTAAATATACTAGAGATTTCTCCTGTGATGTTTTGTCTGGTTTTGTGTCTCAATGTTCCCGAATTGCACCTGTGTGTGTTGGTTTTTATATGCACAAATTGCACATTTTAATGTATTTTGTAATGCACATTTGCTTTTGCACCATGTTAGTCATCAGTGTCAGCGTCCAGTTGGCCAGATATATATTCTGACTGGGGGGAAAATGAGGTAAAAAAGAAAATGTTGATGCACAACCTGATGTGGAGTGCAGTGATGTGTTTTAAGGAAATATCTGACTAACCCTTTAGTGTCTGATTTTGAATTAAGTGGTATAATTATCAAACAGAATTGAATATGATGAGTCTTTTTCAGAATGAAAACTCTTTTGAGAGATTTAGGTATTGCATGAAACCTTAAAATGTGGAAATTATACTTTTATTCTGGATAATACACTATTTAGATTTTGAACAATTGGAAACTGAAGGGTTGAAATATTTCTGACTTGAGTGCAAATTTTGTGTGCTGTGGAAATTATAATTATAATATAATTTTTATTTAGGAACAGTAATTAGAAATTGTAATACTTGTGACTATTTAATCATTGCTGTTTTAGTAGATAGAAATAATGCCTTCAGCAGTAGATGATAACAGTAGGGCATTAATCAACAAAATATTCTGTCAAAGTTCAAAATTAGAAATTGATATAATCTCACCTTGAAGTAGGCCCACTATGGAAGCTGCACCATATATATATTCTGTGTGATGCCCTGTGTCATGTGTTGTCCATGTATCTTTCAGGAGGTTCGCTTTAAGACTACCAAGGTAGTGTGCTATGATATGCTGTGTGATATAGGGGAGGGGGCCTTTTGGGGAAATACCCAATTTTATGCAAATAAAGGGTTTCAAATTGATTTCATATGGGATGAAAGCATTCAGAATTCATCTGTCAGAATGTTGTATTTGCAAATTTAATTAGCTGAGGGTTTTGGATTGGACTTCTGTTTGATTTATGTATGTTGTCTCTTATTTGTTTTTGTGTGTTTTAAGTTCTCTCTGTGTATAATTACTGTCATTAAGAGGATAAAAAGCATGGTTGATACAGAAATAATGTGAAATAAGTATTGTTTTACCCCCCCCCCCCAAAAAAAAAAATCTTCATCATATGATGATGGATTGTTTGAATTGTCTTTTAACTGTTGAAATTATCAACATGCTAAGGCCACTTAAAGATACTGATATTTGTTAAAGACAGCTCTACATTTTTGCACCAAAATAAAAAAAATTCACAGTGACAACAGTTATCAAAGAAAATGCATGCATTTCAGTCATGTTAGAATCAAAATGATTTCATTCTTAGCCACAATTGTTCTTTTAATAGTATGATGTTGATGCAAGCAGATTCAACTTTTTTTTCTCTGTTCAAAACAGAAATCTGAGATTGTATCATAATGTAATTTTTGACTGGATTTTTAGGCCAGACCCAAAACCTCAGAGTTAGGAGACACGTCCAGGAGCTTCATTTTTGAAGATGATGAAAAGCCAAAGAAGGAGGAACCGTCTGAGATGATGAAGAAGATGACTGAACTCATCGAGAGGCCCCCAACACCCAAGGTAGTGTTCTTATAATGATTTATAATATTTATTACCAACTTTTAGAAGGATTAGTTGTATTGTGACACCCAATATCTAAAGGAAGTAGAATTGGCATTTCAAGATATTGTGTTTGTGATTATTATAGTTATTCTGTCTCAACCCAATGTTTTTGCCACCTTTATTTATACTGTATCAATATTTAACCCTCTTGAGAATAAAGATGTTTAAAAAAAAATGTTTTTCTACAAACTGCCATTGTGTCAGAACATAATTGCTGTAGGAAATCCTGGAATGGATAATACAAATGAAGCAGCTTTTATGGCTCTAACTCAGATACATAGCCATATATTTTATACATGTAGCACAGGAACATAGGCTGAGAAATGTGCTTGGGTGGGTTATCTGTACTGCCTGTACTCATCTAGATGCTGACTGAAAGAAAAGCTAAAAACTAATAAAATACTGGAAAAGCCGGCATTTTGTACCCTCCCCTCAAAAAAGTATGTCTTTCAAACCTCTCCCACAGCCTATGCCCCTGCAGCATATGAAATGACTTGATGTTTCAACATGCCTTTTAAAATGGTATTTCTTGGCTGGGTAATGTTGCAGGAGACTAACCATCAGATTCATCTAACAGCTTCATTTTGTAATGTTAGAATGTGCAGTTGGCTGTACTATAATAATTTTCAGTAATTTAGATCGTATACTAATCTATATTTAACCCTGAAATGAAAGGCAGTTTCACAATATTGCCTCATCAGATGAAAAACATTATACCCTTTTCCAACATGAGAAATTCATGAATTAAGAATTTGTTCATTGTTTTGAGTTATTTATTTACTAATTTAGAAACAACTAGCTACTCCTCATAGATTGGAAGATTCTGTCCAATCTGCCAGTCCAGTGTCTCCTGTTGCTGCTGTCCTATCTCAGGTAGTATGGTGACAGGGTGGAGGGGGATATGCAGCAAACATCCAGCCTTCCAAGAGTGCATTCATTAGTTGTTCCTTATGTCAATCTCTTGTGCATTGTTACACTTAGCGCGCTGTGCATAACAATGCCTCTCTCCTTGTGCAGAAAATAAAATCTCCTGAAATCAGGGAATATTTTGAAAAATCATGTGTAGCACAGGAACCTTTTTAAAACTGATAACCTGACTGGGCAACAGCTCAGGGCTGCCAAGGTGGTGTCACTGGGCAATCCATTCACTGTATCTAGGCAGCCCTGGTGGTTCCCAGTCCATTACCTAGGGAGCAGCATAATCCTAGGCAGATTTACTCATGATTACATGCAGCTAAATTTCCTACTGCATTGCTTTCACACAAATCAAGAAAGTTTTTGAGTTCTTTTTTTTTTCGTTAAATTTTCCTTTTTTTTCCTTTTAGTTGATATATATCAAAATAAAAAAAAATGCTTTTGAATACTAAATTATGCAATGATCAAGGTTTCAAAAACAGCTTTTTGCTGGCAATTAAAATACCCCGCTTGTGTTAAAACAGTAAGGAGTACACAGTGTAGAGGGCATGTACATATATCATCCTATGCACAGTATAATGCACAATATGATATATTATTCTTTTGTCACATAGCAGTGTGCATTATAAAAAATATATATTCCAGTAAATCTATTTATTTCATAGACCTCAGGCCTTTGCTTAGACACCTTTCTAAGTTGCATTATCGTATTATTTTTCATTCAGACAGTTGAAGTAGAGGATTCAGTTCAGGTACAATTCACTGACCTTTAAAAGGTCAAGGTCATGATGTTCACCTCTGTGTGTGCACATTCGTTTTACCTCTATTTCTTGACTACATGACACAAGTTACATGTAGTCTTTACTTTTATCATTAAAGACAGACAACATGCATTAGACTATTGCATAGGGTTAGGTTTGAAGCCAATTTTTGTTAGCGTTAGCGCTGGCGGTACACATGGTTTTAGTCCCGTCCGGATCGTTCCGCCGGCTCTGCCGGCTCCGCTGGACGGCTACCGTTACCGCTTCTTCTCCTAGATGGTAAGGGCCCCCGTACCCATCTCTTGGATTAAGGTCACCTATAATCTCAACTCGTTCCACGTAAAATTTGGGCTTTGTCCGTATTGGGGTCTATGTGTGGCACTCATTGCAATGCACCCTTGTCTAAAAATGGCAAAATTAAATGCTAATTATCTACCCTACGGAAGGAATTATGGGAAAAATTTCTACAGACGGCTTTCCTAAAGTCTTATGTGTAGATTTCAAATATGCCCTTGGATTTGACCTTTGACCTTTTTTTTCAAGATCAAATGGGCCAAAATTTTCAAAAAAATGAATTTTTTTACGAAAAAAAAAATTGTTTGCCCTGTTATTCAGACACCACACAGACTTAACCAATAATATTATTGGAAAGTGTTACCCTTCAGGTCATCTTTCATCTCCATGAATTTGGGGTCAATCGGTGCATTTTCACAGGAGTAGCGGCCATAAGATACCGAAACTGAAAACTGTCTCTAATTCGGGAACTGTTAATGCTAGAGACCCATTCTTTATTGCATTTTGTAGAGCATGTAAAGCCCAATACTGGATATGGTCTCCATTTTTTTGTATTCCATACGGTTTTCGAGTTACGCTGTATCAAAAAGTACATATTGGTGGTGAAAGCAAAATGTACAGTACGGTAATGGATAATAAATTTTGAACTCCGGAAAAATAAAACATAAGGCTTGGCAAAGCAGACAACTTGTGGTCAAAAATGACATTATTTCATCAAATTTGAACTTCTGGAACTTCAGAGCACCTCCCATTTCAAGAATTTTGACCAAAATGACCTTTTCTTAATTTTGATTAATTTTTTCTGTAGGAAATTTATGGCACATTATGGTAACTCCAAAATTATAACATTTAGTCCCTTATATCTCCAAAACTGGCAGAGATAGGTCCATAGTTACTATTGAAGTTGAATAGGAAGTCATATACTGGCAATCTAACTGTGACCTTAAAATTGACCTTTGACCTACTTTTCACCATGAACTGAACTTTGCAAA